GTTCTTATTTTTTCATTTTGTTTTGAACTATGGTAAATTTGCTCAAAGTGTGGTGGCACGGAAAAATTTTTGGTATGGTGGCAGCCGACACTTCTCTACCGACACCGTCGGTCGAGTGGTGCACTCGTCGACGTGTGGTATATTTGGCCGACTGCACCCCAAAATTTCTGGCAGAAATTAGTTCACAGAGAAAATGCGCCTTCTCAGTTATAAACGTTCTCTGGTTAAAGTATGTTCCAAGCGTACACTTTTCAGTATAATGGTGTATCTGCATGTTATTTTATTATAATGATTGCGTTTATTTTTTATATCTAATAAATGGAACTTAGTGGGGATAAGATTGACGAATGAGAAAAGTGGGCGTCTGGTGAAGACTGAGAGTAAAGAAAAGCAGAAAAAACAATACATATGAATTTTTTATTTCTTTTAAATGTTTTGATTCGCCATTATAAGGATATTAATAAGAAACCAAAAATATACACACGTAAATAGAATAAGAATGTGTATAGATGTATGTATTACTTAGAAGTAAACTCAATAAAACGAAGGTCTGCATTTCATATCTAAGCACACATTCATATGTAGTCTGTTCCAATAGCAGTCCGGTTTACAGGATTTAGTCAGAACTTACAGGAAGTCGTTCCTATTGACATAAAACCTGTAAGTGGGAACACATTTGAGAGAGTAAAGGCTCCGTTATGCATACTTGGCATGGCTTGAGAGCTGTCACATAAGAAATCTGTTAAATGAGCCTCGCGTGTAATCGGTTATCGAACGCACAGCACTACATACGTAAAAGTTTGTTGGTTTTTGATTTCTACGTAAAAATGGTATAGCAGTGCATGCAATGCCAAGTATGCATAACAGAGCCTTAACTGAGCAACTGTTCCTAGTCAGAAGTTACAGGATTTAGTCCGGAATTTTTTTTCCTGTAAGTTCATGAAAAGTGTCAAACGATCAGCTGATTTACATGTGCAAACAAAAACAGAAAGCGGTGAAAGCAAAGAACCTTATATTTGTTAAAAAATGGAAGTAAACAACGAAATATTTGAAAATGTATAGATTTTAATAATTATTTAGTGATATTTCAGCCAAATCTGTGTAGTACCCATGACATGTAAACAAACCGTCTGACGTTTTTACAGGAAATAGTGCTTTTTGCGTTCCTATGCACTTCTGCATCTGTTCTCCTTTTACTCTCATTTGAGAGCGTAAAATTGTAGTTTGACAGTTCCACAGGTTTTAGTCCGAAGTTCAAAGGAACAGACTAATGTATGTATACATGTAAGTGCATAGTTATTTACTGAACAGTAGCGCAGAATGAGCAAACATTTTGCAGCAATAATCAAATAATAGCTAAGCGTTGGTTTTACTACGACCTTGGAAAGACCAAAAAATTGACTTGTGAGTTTTTTAGCCTGAAATATGTACAGTTATGTTCACAAAAATAGCAGCGCTTTACCTGTACTGAAAAACCTCGAATAACTTGCGTAGTTTATGTCAATTAAATACAATTTATTGATAAATACAAGGCAGGTAAAAGAAGAGTAATAACAGACAAAAGAATGAAATGAAACTATGAAGTTCAGGTTGTTCAGAAAAATAGCAGCACTGTATATATTCAACTATTTATTAAAATATAAATTAAAATAAAAGTGGTAATTCCAGTTGTGAGTCGTTCATTTTGTTGCTCATTTAATACTTTGTAGCATGGCCAGTGTTTTTGATAACTGCGTGACATCTGCGTTGCATAGAGTCAACCAACTTTTGACACCTTGCAGTGGGTATAACATACCAGGCCTCGCACACTTTTTCCCAAAGTTCTGCGCTGTTTTTAGGATTAGCTACTCTTACTGCGTTCTTGACATCTCCCCACAGATTTTCGATGGGATTTAGGTCCGGCGATTGTGGCGGCCACCCCATTACATTGACATTCTTGTGGCGAAACCATGACTTCTCCCGCTTGCTAGTGTGTTTCGGGTCGTTATCTTGTTGATATACCCATTTAAGCGGCATGTTGTCTTCGGCATATGGAAGCATAGTTCCCTCAAGGATGTCTATATAAAGAAATTGATCCATAATTCCAGAAATTTTGTAAATCGGACCTACACTGTAGTATGAAAAGCATGCCCAGACCATGATGGAAGCACCATGTTTTAAGGTCTTTACGGTGTACCTCGGATTAAAAGCTCTGTTGATTGGCCTTCTTACGAATTCGCGACAGCCTTTAGAGCCGAATAGTACTATTTTGCTCTCGTCGCTCGACAAAATATTGCGCCACTTCGTAATAAGCCAATCGACATTTGCTCTGGCGAACTCCATCCTTTTTGCAATGTGCTTTTTGGTGAGTAAAGGCACTTTCCGGGGGCTTCTGGCAGGCAATCCAGATTCTAGCAATCTCCTTCTTATCTTCACTGCACTGACTGGTAACTCTAGTCGTTGCTTTATTTCTCTGGAGCTGAGTTTTGGATTCTGTTTTGCCATTTGTACGATTTTTCGGTCAATGCGACCACTTGTTGCTCGTTTATGGCCACGAGTTTCTGGTTTATTTTGCCATTTTAAAGCATTTGCAATCACTTTAGAACTGCATCCTACAATTTTTTCTATTTCTCGATAAGATTTTCGATTTTTACGCAATGTTTTGATGAAATTTCGCTTTTCTTCTTTGCAGTGCTTGGATCGGCCCATTACGCTAATATACTTCAACGAAATTTAAAAAATTTTCAACGTATTTATCAAACGTAAATAAAACTTACCATTCGCAGCAAAAAGATCAGAAAAATTAAAATTTTTGCGAAGAAAATACCGATTTAATGTAACGCTGCTATTATTATGAACAGCTTTTATCACACGTGCATAGCACACTAACTCCGTAAAAACATTGGACATTTATTTTCGCTAGCTCTTGGTATACTGTTATAACGGCGCATAGGAACAGTGAAAAACAAACTAAGGTGCGCGCTTGTAATATAGTTTTTACTGCTATTATGAATGACTTTATAATAGGAGCGTTCCTTATCTCCCAGAAATAGTCAGAAAAAGTCAGAAAAAGTCCGAAGTAGTCAGATTTAGTCCAAAAAGCGTTCCTTAACTCGGAAATGACAGAAAAAATGAGAGAGCAACATTAAGTGAGAGTGACTCTCATCAGTCCGAAGTAGTCAGATTTAGTCAGAAGAATTTTTTCTGGCAAAATCCTGAAAAGTGTCAAACCCAACTGAATTTAAATTAACGGAAATTAAAGAATACGCAGAAACAGAGAATATTCTAAAAAAGTAAAAAAAGTGAATTGAAATTGGAAGGAGGCAAAAAATAATTGATATAGTAAGTGTTTATTGTGCTTGTGCTTGTGTGAATGTGTTTT